ACCCGGCAGGGCCACCATCAGATATTTTGGGGCCCCTGACAAAGCACAAGGACTGGGGGCCCCCTCTGTCCCCCCGGGGTTGCTGATTTACACGCATTCCATGCCTGTCTTATGCGTTATAATTACAGAGTGAGTGAACATAGAGCATTAATAGGACATGCATGGCTACATACGACCAAACTAAAAAACTTTGCTGATAAGACTCGATTGAACTAGGAGTCAGGGCAACCTGTAAGCTGCCAGACACATAGGCTATTTGGTATGACATTGGCCAGTAATAGGCTATCTAAAAACACAGCTATTAGAAGACATAAGATTATCATGCAGGCATCAGTAATATATGCAGTGAGCATAAACGTTTGAGAAGTACCAAGCAGTAAGGATCAGCTTTGAACAGCTAACTCGGCTTAAAGAGTCGCAGAATGGACTAGCCAGGGTTCATTACGGCAGAGGTGCCAAACAGTGTCCCCCGTGCTTTCCTGTGGTGTAAGTCCTTCTTTATCCAATACCCAGCAGGGGGAAGTGTGTAGGAGAGGCATAAGGGTCTAACAGAGGTAAGTCCAGCTGGGGTGGTTCCCGTGGTGGGCACGTTTGTTCATTGCTGTGGGTACCTGAGATCACTGTGCAGGTATGTGATGTGCTTGTCTGGGCCTCTATAGTTCCCCTTGGCTGTGTCATGCTCCGGCTCCCCGGTGAGGGTCTGCCACTCAGTGGTCGCTGAGCGGTGCTTGATGTCATGCGGGAGTGACCTGGATTCTGTAGGTCCTCTCGGGGAGATATCGCCGCTCTGCATAAGCGCTTTTGGGCTGGAGGGAGATGTCTACGTCTTCAGCGCCATTTTGGTTTGTTGACTGTTAAGCGGGGTTTAGCTCAGCTGTGGCGGATACCTGTGGGACTTTCTGTGGGTAGGTTCCTTCGTGTTTTTGCCTGCCGCTCTCTGGCATCTAGTTTCGCCCAAAATGCGTCGATGATTGTGGTCAGTCTTGTCATCGTGGCAGTCTCCCCTCCGCAGCCGTCATGGCCGCACGTTGTGTCCGCCATTATGTGGGCCTGTGGAGCTAGGGGTTGCTTGTGGGGCTCCGCCATCCGTGTCAGCCGTGGCTTCTGTGTCTGGCAGAGTTGGACCGGGATTACCCCCACTAGTCCTTAGGGGTTGGGAGCGGGCAATCTGTGGCTCAGCGCCCCCGGCGTAGAGGCGAGGAGAGCGGCTGCCTCCCCCCATCCACCGTAGGCCGCAGCGGGCCATCTCCGTTACACGCTTGCGGGTATACCGGTGTTTGGTGTCAGTCGATTCGCCAGAGTGGCCTCAACCTGGGCAGCGTATTCCGGCATCAAGGTAAGCATCGGATCCGCGGAAATTTCCCTGAAACCAGCAATGGCTTTGGGAGCTCCTCTGCCATGCGACTACTCCATTTGCAGGTCAGGCCCCGCCCCCAAGATCTGGTTTTTAATACCCTAGCAAGCAATCTGCTAGCTTTATTACCTTAATTTAAGCTTTCCCCTAGTTACACATAGTACACCATAAACATACTCCTCTATACGCACACTTCACCACAGCCCCTTCTAAACACCACATCTCCTGAAAAGGTTTCTGTGAATAGGTGTCTTGCCTGTAATAAGGAAGGCGCAGCGGTAGAACTACAGGCAGTGTTGGTGTTGCGGTTACACTGGGGACCATCGTGTGACCCGTGCATTTAGTGCCACTTAACAGCCATGTGCCTTCAGGGGCCCAATACAATTTTTGCACCAGGGCCGTCTCTACGTTATTGTGCAGCAGCTTCCCCGACACTCAAGCTCTGCCCCACTCTCTAGCCGGGGACTTTATTGCAGAAAGAGGCCTGAAAATGGCCTCCCGAAGTCTGTGGATAGTTAATACAATGTTAAACAAAAATCTGAACACCAGTCAAGCCATAAGACTTGCTTTTCCCACAGAAATCACAAATCCGCAGTGATGTTACTACAGCAAAGGATTCTGGGTGGGCATATGCAAATTAATTGTTTTTGCTTCCCAAGCACTACCAAGCCTCAATAAGCAAACAGGTAACCAACCTCATGTTGATGATTTGCATTAACAATGAAACAGCTGTCCATGAGTGGTTCACTGGCTTTGCCAAAATCATTTTTGCCCGTGTACCCAAAAATCCTTGTACCGGTCCTGACTGTAGACATGAAGAAGGACGTCGATCCAAAGTTTTGCTCCTTGCATGGATGGGGCCAGCCTCTTATTTTTGCCTTCTGAAATCCCTTGATCTGCAGGAAACGTATCTTGCTCCTCCCGTCTCAATAGCCAGTATTGTATAGAGTACAGAGATGGATACTACACTATGTCAGCAATTGATTGATAGGGGAGGCCATACATTAAATTGTTGTTTTTTAATCAATTCATTTGCTATCAATTCACCTAGCAATGCATATATGTAGAGATGACTTTTTTAGATTATTCTCCATTTAAGTATCTAATAAAGAACCTGCAATTATCGTTGGGGCAAATCATCAAAAACCTAACCACTCATTTGCACATCTCTTCTCTGGGCTGTGGTACCAACACATTAATTAGGAATATATTTATATTGACAATGAATGTGATCATCTTCTTAATGGTGCATTAAAGTCTCTGCTAAAATGCTCTTAAATATATTAATAGTATCCAATTATATTAATTAAACTTTTGTTAATTAAAACAAAATGCAAAGATTTTTTAAACAAAAATCTGTTAATGCCCCAAATTAGAAACAATTAGTTATGGTAGGGTGTGGAACTGCACTGTATCCCTTTAGGCAGAATGTAGCTGGGTGCAACTCGGACAGTCTCAGTACCAGAGACCAAATGCTGAATGACAAATAGAAGAAAGGTCCAGGCACTCCAAGGTACAAGCAAGGCAATTTTATTGAACCCACTCCATCACAACGTTTCGACCTACACAGTCTTTGTCAAGCTGAGCTTGTGATGGAGTGGGTTCAATAAAATTGCCTTGCTTGTACCTTGGAGTGCCTGGACATTTCTTCCAAATTAGAAACAAGTCTTAAATACATGTATATACAGAGTAACTTTACCCTAGACTTTACACTAGTTTATAAAAGTTATACACGACAAAGCGATAGGTATAACACTCCCTCTTGTGTCTCGTAGTGGAAATGCAGTTCTAAGATATTTGAAATATTGGCATAAATACTGCCTCACAAACATGAGAATAACTAATCTTAGAAATGTATGTCTACTGTGGTGACAATATTTCAGTCTATTATTAATATAGCAACAATATATTCTGCAGCAATTTACAATATTAAAAAGGTAACTAAAACTATAGGTAAATGACAACCAACAGCGCTACGGAATTTGATGGCGCTATATAAATAATAAAATAATAATAATAATAACAGAACAGAAGTGGTGAAGAAGGATGCGCTATGGCCAACCTGACTGCTTGAACTGGTTATGGTGCTGATAGTGGGCCCATCATTGCCCACTATATTTAGTATGATTTGGCATGATGTAAGGGGAAACATAATTTAGCCTTATCCATTCCATCTGAGGGGGATTGGCTGCAGGCAGCCAGCAACCCTAATCCACTATTAAACCATTCCCAAATTGTTTAATGTATTAAAGGAGGATGGTAACCAGAGACTCCAGGCACCATAACCACTTCAACGAGTTGAAGTGGTTATGAATCTTAGAGCGTCCATTTAGATGTAACGCTGTCGTTTTTATTTATTTCTGTAATATTGCAAGGGCTTAGTCTATTAGTCCTTGTGTCTCCTACGTTTAAATCTATAAATATAATCCCGCAATTCCTCTCCCTTGCTCCTATTCTATGCTTTTCTAAAATTCGTCATTCCAAGATTTATTTACCTCCATTTTAGAAATGTGGGTCTCGATTTAATAAGCTTTGCAAATGGTTCAACACTGATAAAAAAAAAATAAAAACAACTTTCCAAATGATTTATCTACAAAAATCTCCATAGATGTTAATAGCGACTTCTGTAGATAAATCATGTATAATGTTTTTCTAACAGTATTTGAACAATTTGGAAAGCCTATTAAATCAAGGCCAATATCTGGTGACGGGTAGGTGTCTTACTAGCAGCATACAACACTGTCCACAATTTTAAAATCCAACATCGCACTGTGTAAAGAGATTTTTCTTGTGAAAATCAATAAAACATTAATGAAAAATAAATAAATATAGTACACAATGTAGTTTTTCTAAAATATTATACTCACTCCAAATGCTGCCACTTA